AAGAGTAGCCCAGGAAAATACACCGAACAGAATTAATAGTTGTTTAAAGACTTGGTGATTAAATGAATAAGGTTGGAGATCGTGTCTCAAGTGGATCTGTTAAGCTTATAACGACCAGTGGGATTGCTTATAGAATGCTGAAGGCCTTTTCAGTCAACTTGAGAGCTTGAACAATTAACCCTATAGAACGAATACGCTTGAAGAGGATAGAAGATTTGGATGTTTTGGGGATTGATTTGGTTGTGACCGGACTCAAACAGTCAGGGATAGTAGAAGTGTTAAGAAAATCATTGACAATGGAAGTGAATGTCCCAACTACAGAAGCAGCACCAAGTTTGAAATGGGCTGGATGTAAATCATCCGGGCCTGCAGCAGAAAATGAATTGCAACTATTTAAAAGTGTTAACACACCACAGTGTGAGAATGGTTCCACATTGCGAAAATTTTGTGACGAGTAGGAGGCAGGAAGAATGTCCGCCGAATAGCGTAGAAATGCGGTATTCGAACCAATAACATCAACAAGCAGCTTCGACCGTACATTCTTCCTCCTACAGAGAAGCCTAACGCACTACCATAGGTGGTTGCTGTTTCCAGTCCTCAAAATTCGTTCGGAGAATAGTCCGTCTAGTCCATTTATTTCGATTTCGCTAATCCTGGACAAGTACTTGGCAGCCGATGTATTGTGAGACTTATACGCACGTTCCAATATGACAAGGAGAATTTCTACGATTGGCGGGCCATTCAATGATCACGTGATAGGTCTAACGTGTTCATAAACAAGGGTGATCGATTGTCAAGATAAACGCAAACAAAATAGGGAAAAAGTTGACCTTCTGGACTGCCGAGATGTATATGATATGTTGGGGGAAAAAAGATTCGGTTCGATTTAGGATGAGACCGAAGTAGACTTGTTGCTGAGTCCAAAAATCTGATAAATAACTCTTTATAATCACAAATCTAAACGGATCCATTTCTGCTCCTATCCCGTACAAAAATACGTAACCAAGACTGGCTTTGTTGAGGACGATTTGTTGAAGTTATGTTCATATACAGCCAAATAGGAGATACGGAGTGGGGGCTTCAGTTCTCACTAGGGCACTCCAGTCCATGGTGGTTTGCAGGAAGTGGCGATGGTTTACGCGTAACACAGAATGATTCCAAGACACACGGCGGGGACGCGGAGAATCCATGAATGAAGTTCACCTAGAACAAAATCAGTACAAATTCCCGATATATGGCTGTATGCAGAAACTGTATTATTTCCTTCACATTCTGTTCATTGCATTACACTGATTTTGACGCAAACATTTGTCATAGACAACGCCGTAACATTAGGTTGGCAGTAGCAATGCAGCCGGAAGCTATCTTGGATTCAACATGATGCATGGGTATTTCCAGCCACCTGACTAGATGACGACAAAGTGAATGATTTTGGAGTTTTATTGACTTGTTTTTATTTGATTTGATGTACCAGTCAGTTAGGATATCTACGCTTGTTTGAAAGGTTTGCGTTAGGCATCATTTGGAATCGGTTCGAGTGTTCGAGGTATTCGCTATGTAATGCAATCAAAACCTTTGTTACTCTCATTTCGGGGTGGAGTCGGTTTCGGAACGTCTCCAAGCGATCCATGTTGCTGATGAAATGAGCAAAGATACAAAGATGCATTTGGACGAAATGAAAATCGGTGTGATCAGCTACCCGTTTATCACTTACATAGAACACGTGCGTTCTATGAATGCGGTCTAATGTTCGCGAACCGCTGTTGGATCGATGGTATTGATGGAAGCTAGCGGGATCCACCCTTGTGGCTCAGTGGTCTGGGGTTATGATACTCGCTTCGGGTGCGAGTGGTCCCGGCTGAATCCTCCGACATTCCATCCAACCATTTCAGCGCCTCGCCTTTGCCTCTCTGAATGTCATATAGGTCGTCACCCCGATGTTATCAGTTTGCGCAAATCAACAGTAGATCTTGATGACTTGTCGCAGTCCAGAACTGCGTCCTATAGATGGAAAGTCAGTGATTGTAGACATACATCTTTTCAAAGTGTCCCTACGCTTCTTTTCTGTAAAACGACTACGATGTTTGCCGCGTTGTTTATTTTTCCAATCCACTAATATAGAAAGTCACTGATGATTTCCACCAGTCCACTAGCCAGAGTGAGAATAGGTCCCGGTTCCCGACAGCAGTGTAGAGTGGCAAAGCACATTCCCCTGCCAGTAGCGCAAGGGCCATTCTATCAAGTTCGATTGAACAATCCCCATTTGTGTGCCTGGGGATTTTTCAATATGTTCCAACTACTGCGGGCATTCGTCACTAACGCTAATACACAACAAGGTTTTTCAAACATCAGTTGGCCCTTTTTTCGTGATGATTGTTTACTAAAACGAGCTCACATTTGATCCCATCCCAGCGTCTCATATTGCATTCACCAGTCCGTCGCTTTTACCAGTATAGTCATTTGGCTAGTCAGTGTAACACTGAAAACGAGTTGGCTGGTCATTTTACTTCAACTGTTATTGATCGTACACGCACCGCATCGACTCGATTGTGCAACGAACACACGCATGTGCACATGTTCAACGACATTGCGATAACCAGCACTTCCGTCAGCTTAGACGACCATCTACTGTTGTCCAACTTCGGTGGATGCAGTACTTTTTCGTGGCACTGATCAACAGTCGTCATCAGATTACGGTATGGGGACGTGTTGGGACAAGACCGCAACATGCATATCTATCAGACTTATGCGTTGGTGATGCAGAAGAAGACGACGACGCACTGTCACGTGAGCAGAGACCAATGAAACAAGCAACGATAACAAGAACAACAACAAGAAAGATATGATTTTTTTCAATTTCATCATGTATATATTCATGAAACTGTCTGTGTGTGTGTGTGTGTGTGGGCGTGTGTATAAGTGAGTTGGGTGCATAGGACAAGAAACGGAAACGGGGTTGCCTGGACATTGTGGTGTTCGGGAAAGAGGGGGGCGGGTGTGTGGGGTACAGATGCATAATATACATAAAATCAACATTCG